GGAGCATTTAGACACAAGCCAGAACAAATTATTTACAAAATGCACTTATTCACGTACATATACTGCATACACCACTTTATTAATGCAAGAGTAGGTACCTTGTCACCTTCATCAGTAACTGCAAGTTCAGCACACTTGGCCATGATGTTTAGGCAAATTAGACTGGGGCATAATCCCAAAACAACAAAAAAAAGTACTACAATTTTTCTTGTCATATCTTTAAATTAGTTAAATTTTCTGTACTTATTTTTCATATTTGATATGTTTTTGTGTTAAATACTGGGGTATAGTTTTAAAATTTATGATAATATATTCTGCATATCCACTACGTATTATTTCGAGAACCTGCTGTATCTAATGCATTGGCCCTGTGCTCCTTAAAAACTTTGTCTCTCCTCCCCCTACTCCTCTTTTTTTGTACCAGGGAATCAAACCCGAGACCTTGCACTTGCGAGGCAGGCAGTGGAAACACTGGGTTAAATCCCTGGCAAAACTTGTCTCTTATGAGTATCAAATTTTTATAATGATGTATAGTTAATTTACTGAAAAACATTGAACTGTTGATGTCTCTTCAGACATCTCTTAATTCTAGCAGTGTCAAGGTCAAATAAAATCAGTGGGTAATATCATGAGAGGATGTCACATTGTGTGATATAAAAATCAAATTTACTTGCACCTATCACAAACATCCCCTCACTTGTCTCATTAAATAATTTTCATTCCCTGTCAATCATGCTGTACTTATGGGAGAAACACTGAAAGGAAGACTGGGCTATATGTTAATATTTTCATAATCATCCATCATCACAATGAATAAACATATATATAGCAATGTAAATGTTATAATATATAATATATACATAGCAATATATCTGCCATTGCATAGATTCCCAAGCATTTGACTTCTTTTCTAACATGCTTTGAAAGGCATTAATATGAACGCTATGTGAATTTGTCTGCTTTTGACCTAGAATTTCTTTAAAATACTAGAGGATTTTCAAGAGGCTGTTCCTTCATTAAACTCACAAATCAAAGTTAATTTTATTCTTTTTTGGGGAAGGAATTAAATAAAAAAGGTATTTGAAAAATAGATCAACACAAGCTGTCCTATAAGTATAATTCAATTTAAGCATGAGTTGAGGTCTAAACCATGGTTTAAAGATAGAGTAAATATTTCTAAATTTAATTCTAAACTTTATTACTTATTAGTTGTATGTCTTTAAGTTTGTTATTTATGCTAGTTTCATTCCGAGGTTATGCAGTAAATTTCAGAAAATAATACTGTTGTTTTTCTTACTGATAAAATTAAGGATTACATAAAGGTTTTAGACCATTCAGACATTCAATATAAAATTATTATTAACTGTATCTTATTATTGCTAAAACCTGTATTTCAAGAAAATTAGTTAAAAGGAGTACAAAAACATTTAAATTCAGAAATTTTCCTGTGAGCACAATCTAATGCTTTAGCATTTGTATTTGTAGCTTGTAGTGAAATACTTAGAATTTGCAAAATATAAGAGTATTAAAATATGTATTTATGATAGATGTTTACTGATGGAGCCTTAGGATAGTCCTGTGGATGAGACAAAGCTTTGCAAGTTAGAAATATATAAAGAATGAAAATGAGTATTAGCAAAAAAGCGTACTGATGGTGACAAAGAATCTGAGAGGAAAGAAATCATTACTAACTCATAGAAATGGTTAAATTCAAGCTTAGTTTTTAAGAAAGGGTGGAATTTTAAGAAATACATAAAATTTACACTCACCAATGTATGATTAAATGTAAGTAAGAAGTTCAAAGGTTAGAGTTTCAACGTGTGTCTGGGAACTAACGTTTGGCTTTTCACCATGACATTCTTCTTATAAACAAGAGATTAAAAATCTTTGAGAGTTTTTGATGTTAGGACTGAGATATAATGTAATATATTAGAAAATAGAGAATTAGGCAAGATTTCTAAACTAAAATACAAACCCTAATGTAAAAAATGGATTATTAAGAGTTTTATTCTTTCCTTCTCTTCTTCTCCCTCCCTCCCTCTCTCTCTCCCTCTCTCTCTCTCTCTCTCTCTCTCTCCCCTATTTTTTCTTCATCCTTTCATGTTTCTGATGTTCTTTCTTCTAAAATCTAAAAGCTATCAATCAAAGCTCTCTGGAGAGACAGGACTGTTACAAGGGTTGGGGATATTGAAGTCTTCTTTTGGAGGTGGCTTCTAATTTCTTTCTATCTTGAAAAAAGAATTGAGTGAATAAGCAAGAACGGTGGTGATTTATTAGAATAGCTAAAATTAATTTTGTAATAAAATCTGAAAAATGAAGGTAAGGGAGAAACTGGCTCTGCAGATTGAGCTTGGCTGTATAAAAAGCGAGGAAGAGTAAAAAACCAAAACAAGAATAAAAAATAAAAGTACATTCTGGGATACAGAGTGGGCTAGCATGAAGTGGCAATTAAATTAGCTATAAATAGCTTCTGCGTCCTTTTCTCCTTTCATATTTCCCACACTGACATCACACACAGGTTGTCCTGTCAAAAACCTACTAGGGTTCTTGCAGAAGTCCACATTTGAACTCCTAAGAAGTGTTTTGTTCATGTGTTCTGGGATTTTGCGATTCACAGGTTACCACTTACTTCCCCAGCCACCTTTGCCAAGCCCTACTTTCCAGCCACAGGACCAGTAACGTATACTCATTTAAACATGGCAACCAGCCAGGCATTGTGGCACACTCCTGTAATCCCAGCACTTGGGAGGCTGAGGCAGGAGGATCACTGTGAGTTTGAGACCAGCCCAGGCTACATAGTGAGTTCCAGGTCAGTCTGAACTACACAGTGAGATCCTGTCTCAAAAAACAAACAAACAAACAAACAAAAACCACAACAAAACAAAACAAAACAAAAAAACAGGGCAACCATTACAGATTGAGCAAGCATAATCTGAAAATTTAATATTCTTAAATGTTCCAAATCTGAAACTTTATTAACCTCAGCATAACACCACAAGTGGAAACAATTCCACAGCTGACTTCACATTACTGGTTGCGACCAAAATGTGGGTGCACTAAAAATGTTATATAAGAGTTACCTTCAGGCCACATGATGAACTGTATCTGAAGCATAAATACATTTAGTATTTAGACTTGGTTCCACCCCCAAGATATTCCATTATGTACTTACAAGTATTGCAAAATTGAAGAAGAAAACATCTGAAATCTAAAAACACCTCTGGAGGGAGCGGGTATTTTATTGAATTAGTTCATACTAATTGGCAGGCTAACTAGTCCAAAATCAGTGTAGTTTGGCAGACTGAATGCCTAGGAAAGAGCTGATGTTGCATTTCCAGTCTGAAGACAGTTGGAAGGCATACTTTCTTTTTCAGTAGGAATCTAAACCTGTTTTAAGACATGTAGCTAATTATATGAGGAATGCACACATGTGCTCTAGTAAGTCTACTGATTTAAATAATAATTTTATGTAACCAATAGTTTCACAGAGTCGTGTGTGTCCAAATATTTGAGTATGGTGGCTGAGTCAAGTTGACTGTAATTAACCATCTTACCCAGTTATACAAAAATCACAATCAAAACCAAAGGGCTAGTGGAAGAAGTGGGTTTAGGAAGTTCACTAAAAAATGTCAATAGTAACCCATGAAAAAATTTATACCTAAAAAAAACCATTAGCACATTTTTCACATATTAAATGTTTAAGAAATGTATAAGTAAGTACTACAGTCAACGTGACACTTTACCTTGAAATAATGAAAGTTCCTCTCTAGAATAGAAGCTGGAAGGGTTGCAGCTCCTCAATTATTGTGATGTGGTAGAAGGAAGGTTAGTTAACATTGGCCAGCAGGTGGCAATGCCAGATGTGGATGGGCATGGCTCACAACACACATAGAGAACTGAAATATCTGGTAAAGGTTGAAGTACATTCTTGGGTTTATTTTGTTTACTCTCATATAGCTCTATTCACCTGGTGCAGCTTCCTGTGTTCACCCAATGCTGGATGAAGATGTGGAGTGGCAAACATGAATTTTATATTATGTTTAAGTTGTTCCTTAATTTATCAATTGCATTAGAAAAAATTCCCTACCTACAATAGGAAGTAATTACACTGAAATGCATGGCAGGAGATGAACAATGATTAGAATTTGCAGAAGTTCATAATGTCACCTATATTTTTTTCCCAAAATGTTTAGTTCATCTGTTGAAAATGAAAGTGTTGAATCTAAGAATATACAGGTTCCTGCATCAAGCATAAGATATCAAGGGTTAAAGAATGAAAAATAGGTAAATATGCAAGGCATTTTTATATTGAATTGACTTAAAGAGATGATGATTACATTGATTCAAGAAAGGAAATCACAAATTTCTGATGAGAAAAAAAAATGTGTACTTCAGTCTAGACCCAAAAAGAAGTAAATACAGGTGAATTCAGCAAGAAGAGAGACAGAGACAGAGACAGAAAGAGATATCTCAATAAAGTTAAAAAGCTTCAGGTGAGATATATTGTATGCAGAGGTAAAGGTTTTGAATGAGTGAACTAGGGTATTTAAGACTTATCCCAGACCTAATGTACATCTAATTATAGTCCAAGATTGTCTGGTGGGACTGCAGTTATTAATATAATTTCTCTCTTTTGGTCAGCACTGTCTGGGAAATTGGGTGGGAGTGAACGTGCAATGGTATGGTGAGCCATTATGGAGAGCCTTGACATGGGCATAGCCATGGTTGAACTTTGAGTCACCCCGCCGGCACGAACGTGCTGTAGCCCATGACAACGGACTGGTTCAACTGGTGGTCTGACCTGTTGCCTAGTAAATGTAGCCCATAATACTTGTTTTGTAGAACCTTGTGACCTTTCCAGTCTGCTACACCCTGTTTGTACTTTACCTTGTGACCTTTCCAGTCTGCTACACCCTGTTTGTACTTTTGATTTCGGTTTTAGCCTATATATACCCCACCCTGAAAAATAAACGGGGCCTTGCTGCGGTAGAGCATGAGCCTGGAACTAAGTTCGTGAAACTGCTCTCCTGTTGTTCTTCCCTCCTGTTTGGGACCTGCTGGCAGGATTCTGATGTCGCGGCTCGCTACACAATGGAAATACTCAGACTGAGAGGTGATAAGGAAATTAGCACTTTTAATTTGTTAAGAGTACTATGGAAATCATACGCAATCAAATTCTGCTTAATAGAGCAAATCATTTCCTAACAATTAGAATTGTAAAACAGTGTAATGGGATGGATTTTGAAATATGATACACACTTTTCTTAGAAGAACAAAATTATAGCTTGTATCTAGATGGCCTCCAAAGAATCATGCCATCACAGGTGAGAATTTTGAGAGGTGACTGGGTCATGGGTGTGACACTCAATTACATATGTGTGATGTTAGATTCATTCACTGATTGGTTTAGCGTAGTTCTGGGTGTGGATGATGAATTTAATGAAGAGGGAAAACACACCTTGGGCGGGAGTGGCACCAACCAACAAGCCTGTTCCCTGAGTGGAGTGAAAAAGGGAAGAAGGAAGTCTCACTACCTTCTGCTTGCTTTTCTATCTGCCATGCTGCGCTGTCTTGGAGCCAGACCACTAGGGATTGAAATCTCTACAAACTCTGAGCTACAATAAACATTCTGTCTAATTTGTGGGTGTCAGGTATTTGGTCCCACAAATGAGAAAAGGTAACTAAGAAGAAATAAATTAATATTTCTATGGCTGCTCTTGTTACTGGCTCTTATGAAAATATATTGGCAAAGTCTTTTGAAAATTATTGGAGAAATAGATTGGATGTTAAGGAACAGGGAAAGTTATCTGCTTTGTACATCTTTTGATCTAATCAATTAGTTGGAAAACAAATAGTTGAATCATTTACGTATTTAAATTTTTCTTTACCTAGCCGTACACATATACATATCTCAAAGTTCTGTCAACCAAGGATGATTTCTAGGATATGTACAATCAAAATGGAACATTTTCAGATTTTGCATGTAGAATATAGGTCTGGATTTAATGTCTGAAAGAGAATCAGAAATAATCAAAGCTTTAACAAGTTTCATGGTACTCCTCCATGGCTTAGTTAACATAGAGGTCTTACATGTGTTTTGATCCTAGACCTAGGGTCTTACTATAATATCACTGCCCCTACTATAAACTTTATGAAAATGTTAATTGTAATTTGCTAGTACTGCTCACGAATAGCCATATTTTTCAAAGTTTAAAATGCATAAGAACCATCTGGGATACTTGTTTAAAATGCAGAGTCCTTGGTCCTATTTAAGGTAATTCTTATTTATAGATTTGACATGAGGAGTGGAATTTGTAATTTTAATCATTGTAGTGAGTCCAATGTGATTGTCTGTGAGCTATAGTTTGAGAAGCCTCAGCCTAAAATGATCAATCCTAATACATGATCAATCTGGTCATATGTCAGTTTAATTGATTAATTATTCATTTAATTAACTCATTTGATCTGACAGAAGATAAATCAAATGACACTGGTGATGGTATAAACAGAACCTCATTATAGGGCTTTGGGATTATTATTTTAACTTTCTGATTGTTCAATTGCTTGATCTACAAAATAGTAGCTATATTTCCTCACAGTGTTGTTTAAAGAAAGAACTATTAAAATATTACAAAACAAGTTTTAAATATGAACACTTAATGGAAGAGTACTGTCAGTATATTATGGAAATTAAATAATTAGTATGAGAGGAATTGATTTCAGTGTTGTATAAAAGTACATGTTTCTGCTCGACAAGGAGTAACTCAAGTTCTGATATGATTTGATCTACTATTTTTATACTGAATATGCATTACTGGAAATAGGTCACAGCAGGAAGACAGATTAAGGCAGTTTAAAGGAAAATAGAAACTGTAGAAACTATAAAAAATAAATTTGCAATTACAATAAGAGAGCAGAGCTGTCTTCTTTTCTTTGTTTACTCAGCAGCCAATATAATCATTCTCTGTTTCACACACACAGTTAACCCTTGTATAACCCGAAGTCATCTTCCACCTTCTCAGATGGAAGTGGACATTTTCCTCCTAATATCAGTATTACAACAAATGGTGCTTAGCATTCTGTCAGCAAATGTAACACTGAGCACTCTATAAATATTAGAGCTAAGAAGGAATAGTTTGTTGCCAATGTAGTTTAGAAGACAGGAAAAAAAATCAAAAGCATAGGTACCAAAGGTGAGGGGGAATGAGTGAAGATGTATGGGAAAACATACAATATTTAGAGTTTGTGATGCATGATTATTAAGGTGTATGTACACATTATTTAGCTATGATATCTTAGTAGTTCTCTTACACATTGGATTGGAAACAATGATTTCCCATGCCAGCTCTTCCTTTACACCATTCTTGTCACACTTGCTCCTTTGATGTTCCTCTAATGTCCTCTTCAGGTCCTTGTCTCTGTGTACTTTCACTTGCTGCACCTGTATCCTGGACCCGTGTATAGTTTATTTTCATATTTTAAATAGATCTTTCTAAAATAGTATCCTCTCGATGATACCTTCTTCCACCACTCCATCTAAATGTCTCAGGTTTTGTGCAGTGGGCTTTTGTGTGTTGTACAGGAGCTTGGCCTGATAAGCAGAGTTCCCTGAGATAATAAATTGTGCCTCATCCATAGACGATAAACTGAAACTGTTCTGAGAATACTACAGACAACTGGATCTACAATACAGATTAAGGTCACCTACTAAAGAATGAGAAATGCCCCAAGTAAATTTAGTTAATTTTGCCTTGTCACCCCTGCGGCTCTGGAAACTCTTGTTGCCTTTTCATGAAGCCCAGGTGAAATGGAAGAGGAATGTCATGACAAAAGGCAACAAACTCTTCTGATTTAGGAAGAATACTTAGTGTTTACTGAAAGTTTTTTTTTTAAAATTCAAATACTAGTAGTTCTACAGCAGCTACAAGTCACAAGTAAATATCCTTTTCTATAGCACTGAGCCACTTCTCCCCTCTCATCTCTTTCACCCAGCTTTAGCTGTTTTTCACAAAATGATTAATTAGAATAAGGCCGAGAATTGCCCTGTCCACAAGGAGAAACAAGCACTTTATCCATCCAAATATGCAGGGAAAATTCCAGTGAGAAAGGGACTCAAACTTTTATGGCTCTGTTGTATGTAGGTGAAAAAAATCATCATTTGACTCAACCCAAATAGGGAGCCATGTTTGCAAATGACAGAGAGGAAAAGCTAAGCAGACGTGGGATAGAGCCATTCTGTTCTCTTCCTTTTCAATTTACCTATACTGTAGCTTCACTGTGAAATGTACATTGAGTCTCTCAGTCTCAAAAAGCTACAAATAGGAAGTGGTAGTGAACTTATAAACTCCTTCCCACTCTATCTCTTTGTCTTTTCTTGAATGGCCCAACAAAACAATATAGAATCCCAAAAGAAGAAAAAAAATCAGTTCTTGGATCAAAGACATTAAAATAGCAGGATAATAAGAGATGTAGTTATTAACACAACACCCTGGTGAGGCCTGTAAAAGAGAACTGAAGGATTTTGCCCTACTGAATTCCGTTGTTCTCCTGTAACCCCAGCTGTTTGAGACATAGTGATGGTCAATGAATATATTTAAGAAGATAACATGTGATATGATATCTTGACAACTGTCAATTCCTTCTTTCTCTTCCAGTAGCACCGAAAGATTAAGATCATTTATTGATATCAACATAGGCTTTGTTGGAGAACAGAATATGCTACCTCAAAATATGAAGGTTGGTTGAGCTCAATGTAATTCAAAGAAGCAAATTCTGAGAAGCTTTCTTGTCTCCCTTTGTTTGTCTAGAAGCACAACCAAGGTTTACAATGACAACGGGTATACTGCCTTTCACTCTCTTTACCAAGGAGAACAAAGGCTGCTGAAAACAACTTGAGATGCGTATTGGTCTAGAGCTGATACGAAAGGGTGCCCCATGAACAAGATTTAGTGATTAGCTTTTATATGCCAATTATTTGCCTTTCCCCAAGTTGCCATCCCTAGACTCAATGTTATTTTTCTTTTTCTGGCTACTTCCCTAAAACATGTTGTTCCTTGTTGAATATCCTATGGAACTGTAGTATAAAGCCTTCTCTTTGAGAATTAATCATTTCCTGACTATCTCCAAGTATATATGAAGTATACATACAAATAGCCTTCCATTTGTGTTTTTTTTTCTTTTTTGTTGTTCTATATTTTGTTACAGGGCTCCATTACTACTAAAATAATATGAGAAAATCATTTTTCTTTCCCTATATTTTCATGCTGAGCATCGCCATTAGAAAGGCATTGAAAGGTCCCATGCAAGAGACAAATACTGAGAGAACAGAAAATAAATACTTTTGAAATGCATGGAAAATTTAGTGGCAATTGGAAGCTTGTTGAAAACATTTGGGAAATTTATCATAGCTGTGCCACTCTGATAAATGTCTCTCAAGTTTGTGCAAGTGTGCCATATAATAATCCTCATAATTAATGCCATGCTGTCACAGAAGAATTAAACCAGGGCACCTCATATGTACCTCCCTTATGGGATACCCACTGTTTTGTTTTTTTTCTTCTTCCCTATGCCTATAACCCTACCTTTCAAAAACCCTCCTCCAAGCTTAGTCACAAACTAACTCATGGTGTTCTTTCTCTCTCTATTTCCGTTTTTGATAGAGATGTGCTCTTCTGGACCAAAGTTTTTGTTTTTGTGTGTGTACATGACTGTGGGTTTGTGTGCTTGGATATGCATGTGTGTGTTGTACATGACTCTGTGTGTGTGTTTGCATGTGCATGTGTATGGTATTTACTCTCTGAACTAGTTCGCAGACCTCCATGTTTTATTCCCCATTTCCATTTTGTAGAAATGCAGTTAGACAAACAGAAATTAAGAATTTAAAAAAAAAAGAAGAAATTTAAGAAAAGGGCATGAAGAAGATGCTGCCTTTGATATGTTGTCTTGCAGTGGGAAAAACATGGTTAGCAAATAAAATGGGGACAGATAAGAAATGATCTCCCGAGTTCAAGTTCTATGGTTGATGTGATGCCATTTCTGAGATTAGGACTATGAAAGAAAAGGAGATCTTGGATGGGAGAAGGAAGGTGATTACTTTAGAGTTCACCTATGAGA